TCCAGGAGTGTGCAGTTCATCTTACCCCTGCCTTGTACCATTCCATGTCCCCAAGACACACCAGACCAGATCATCTACTGTGCCTCATTCAGTACAGCATCCCCTAACTTCATGACAAGCATTTAAGGCACCTGCCTTCTATTAAGTCCTTGGTAACATGTTGTAGCCAGCAGGCTTTTCTTCCCAATGTAATGGTGGGGAAGTGGATCAGATGCTCACATGCATGCCTAGGGATTTTCCCAGCCACGAGGCAGGTCCTCAAAAGCTCAGACTAGTGCATTAACTTCAACCTATGTGTTGTCTACCTTGTGTCTTATCAGGACAGGACTTTCTAAACTAGGGATAACAAAGTACTCACAAAGCCACAGTAGTCACCATTTGACCTTTTTCACTGAAGATCAAGAAAGCAGATTTAGTTTGGGGCAAGATGTGGGGTTTTTTCCTAAATGAAAAAAAAAAAGCTACTGGAAAACACCTAAGCAAATTAACAAAACCCAAAAAATGGGTGCCATTAAAACAAACAAACAATAAAAAAAGTCACTGAAAGTCCTGCTATGTTGCCTGTATTTCCTTTAGCTGAGGGAGGCAGCCCCCAAGTAGCTCTGGAAGTAGTTGTTCCTGACAGAAATGGTTCATTGACAACTCCTTTCTGTGATGCTGCAGTTCATCACCAATTTATAGATAAAGCGCAGTCCTCTCTCTACTATATTATGGGTACAGCCATGTCCATTTGAGGAAAATAGGTCCTCTCTAGACCTCCTGCAGGAGCTCTCTTGCTATTCAATCTGATACTTGCTGTGCAGCAATCTAACAGCCCCAACCAGTCCAGCCGTGGTGAAGGTAGGAACATCACACAGCAACTACACAGCAGGTCTGGATCATTTATATCATGCCTTGCTCCTCTGGCACTTCTGTTTGTGCTTGATGAGCCTTGTAGGCTTCCCAGAATGTAACAGATTTATGAGGCAATGGCAAAGAAGGACAGCAGGAGGGCTGCTGGCCACACAGCCAGATTCCTTTAACAAAAATCCTCTGCACCAAGGGTTACTGGTGGATCACGCTCACTCTGGATACTCTGGGTGGCCAGTGCTTCTGGGAATTGTTCCACTGATTTAAGTGGATAGGTTGCCCAGTCCAACTTCATGGACTTAGAGCAACCGATACTTGCCACCAAGTGAAAGAAGAGCCACCAGCCTTGGTGTGTATATGAGATAGGTAAGGGAGAAGAAGGGAGGGCAAGTGAAAGAAATATAATGCTGTAGGTAAAGTGCTCCACTTTCCCCCCGCAAACTTCTTGTGTGTGCCAGGAATGTAGGGTGGGCTCACTTCCTGCTGCCATGTCCCACTCTTTGTGCAAGAGTGGTACAGGCAGCCTGTTCCATTCCCAGCTGCAGGTGAGCCTAACCCAGGCTGGCCTGACCCTGAATGAAAATATTCCCAGTTGCTTCAGGGAAGAGGGCTCTGTATCCTCAGGCAAATGCAGGAGAACAAAATTTGGGTAGGGCTATGATTTCACTGCCTGTGTGCATAGGATGTCTCCTTTCCTACACAGAGGAACGCTGGCCACCCTTCCCACTTTTTTGGTTCTCAGTGTTCATCACTGCACCTGGAGTTATCTCCCATTTACCAAGGAGTTGATTTAAGTGTCTGACTCAGTCACATATGTTTGGCTCCCTTATTCAGAGTAAGATTTGGCCTACTAGCTGTGAAAACAGCTTATATCACATGTGCTGCAAAGCCTAGCCAGAACAGGCTGAATAAAGGATGAAGTTTAATCATGGAAATGTTGACCTACAAATAGAGAACAAAATGTTAAACCACATGGTATAGGGTGCTGCACGCCCCAAATATCAAGGAGAGGAAAAAAGAATTGAACACATTTGGAAAGTAAAGCTTACTGTTTGGGGTTTAGTTGTTTTTTGGTTTTTTTTTACTTTTTCTTTCTGCATATTCGGAGAGTCAGACCCACACTGTTCCCGCTCGCGATGACACCCTGGCATCCGAAGAACAACATAACACCCACCACAAAATGCTGCTGTTGGCTGGCGCCGTCTAAAGCAGCAAGGTTTGGTGAGGGAGGTGAGACTGCCAAAGGCGGGTGAGTGGGGGCATCACAGAGAATGGGACCCGGCCGCCAGCGTGACTCCAGTCTATGGGACCTGTACAAACTGAGGAGAGGTAAATGTGATGAGGGTTAAGACCCCTTTCGTCCTGTGTTCTTGAAAACTAGTCTTGCCTTACTTCTTACAGCTGGGGGTGAGGTATGTTGTCATTATTTACACACCACCTTTCAGCTGGGACATCCTCACCTTTGTGTGTTTCACACAAAGAAGGGCAGTGATTTTGGCGGAGAGTCCATTTCCATTTTTAATCACAGCCATCACACAAAGAGTTCATCTCACAAGATGGGAAAACTTTGTCATAGGCTTTATTTAACGTAATTTGGGGTACTGCAAAAGGCAAAGAATAAATTTTTTAATCAGTCTTTCAATAACTCGTCGGCTTTGTCTTTAGGTACACTACATTTTACACAAACGTAGTTAACAGCAGCCGGCCAGGCCTTACTGACTGACAACTCTTCCTTACAGGATTTCTATGTGCCAAGGAGCTGGACAGTAATATCCATTTGGTATTCATGGAAGGTACTTGCAGAACAATAATGACAATAATTGCTTCTGATTCTTGTGTTTACAACACTGCCAAAGTATCATTAGAGCTTTATTTATAGATAATAATGCTTATTAATCACACATATTTGAATTTTGGAATGTATTAGATTAATATTCTTTTGTAACTTGGTTCTGTACTAATGCTATGAAAAGCACTTTCTGAATGCAGCCCACTGGAAAGCGCTTGCCTCGGTAAAGTAAAAGCATCCAAGCCATCTGCAGGTGAGGGACAAAGGGCATACCTCTTCCTCAGCCGGCAAACACCAAAGCCAGACACACCAGTTCCAAAAGCAGCTCCTTTGGATTAAAACCAGGGGCAGACGCCTGAAAAAAAATACCATGAAAGGTAGTAGTGTTGTTCTTCAGCTTGCTTTTTGATGCTCTATGAAAAGGTTTGCTTTCTACTGCTTTATAAAGAAACTGGGTTTGGAAGATGAGGAATAGATCCATCCATCACCTCACTCTCTAGCAGCCCCTTCTACCCCATGGGTGAGTTTCACCTGGACCTCAGGATTCCTTATCAGTCAAGAGGTTGACAATGAGAAACATAATAAATATATTACAAAAAATACTCTTAATTTTGGTTATTAAATAATTCCAGCTTTTCTATATCAACATCTTCTACAATTCAATAGCATGATAGAAGGAAAATAGATTTTTTTAAAAAGGCATTTACAAGAAGTGAAAGTGCCACCCAAATCTAAATACCAGCTGCCCTATATTCATATCCTCCTTTGTTTCCCTGTAGCCCATTACAATGGTGAAAAATACACCAGAGAAACTGCAGTACCAAACTCCCCAATTTTTAGTGTGACCAGCTCCATAAGTTTGTATTTAAATAAAGTCTAGAACAGTATTGAATGTTTTATTATTATTATGCTTTTTGAGATAGTTCTTCAAGTAAATTTGCAGAGGCTCTGTCAGTTTAGAGATGATATTTCCATCTTTTTGGTTAGTTTTTTTCCTTTTTACCCAGTGCTGATGTAATGTAACACCAGAAAGTAGAGAAACTAAGAAGCAGGAGAGTGCATGTTGTATTTTATTCTATGTGTTCATTTTGTGGTTTTTTTATGGTGCTCCCTGCACAGTGAGGCTAACCTGTTGCAAAGTGTTACAGCCCCATTGTGTCCAGGGATCTTTTACAGTGGCAGAAAAAAAAAAAAAAATTAAAATGCAGAAGCTTTCAATTGTGAAGAACACTTGTGGCTTTACTGCAACTCCCCCAATCTGACCCTGGCCAATATGTTTTAACAGACAAAATAACAAAGTGATGTTGCTCCTTTAAAATGTGTTTCACCTATTAATAGTCCAGTGTCCTTTGCTCATTGTGTTTAGAAAATGCCTGTATTTAGGTTTCCCAGGAATTTCAAACCTACCAAGACAGCCAGTGCTGAGCACAGCCCAGTCATTTCTAAATGAAGCCAGGATTTAAAGTTTAAAAAACCCTAATAGAGAGATTAGAGAGGAAACCAAAGCACGAAGTTGGTATCGGGATGCAGAAAGCAGCCCCATCCTTATGGGTTCCACACAACAAAGCCGTGCACCCTTCCCATCCCAGAGACCACAGCTCCTGCTGGAGGCCGTGGGGCCAGCTTGTCTTGGGCATTGCTGGGAGGAGGGTCATGGCTTCAACCACCATCTGCAGACAAAGGAATAATTCCCCGTGTATGGGCACAGGGGGTGCACAGAGCTTTGGATTGGGCTCCTTTCTGAATTGAAGCTCAATATCATCTAGCCAAAATTGATCCCAAAACTTGGCAGTGCTGCACTGAGGGGAATTTGATCAATAACTAGTCATGGGGTTTGGTTCTTCTGGTAGTCCTCTTCTGAAAAGAAAACCCATGGCCCCAGGTGCACACAACCTGCTGCAGCATTCACTGGCACAGAAGCATGTACAGATACTCTTCTCTCCCTAGCCATTGGTGGCTCCTAGAAAAGTTTGCTATATCTGCCTTAGATTTCAGAGTGTCACTGTGCAAAAGGCTGTACCTCTAACAGATGTTTGAAATCTGCATCTTATTCTTCCCTAATAGTAGTAAAAATAGCTGGAAGAATTCAGTACAAGGATCCTAATTTCAGAAAGGCAAATCAGCAGCATATAAAATAATTCACCCTCTGCAGATTACAGACTTCTTATTTTTGTAACTGAACGATAATTTCTATTGTTTCTGTCTGTTTTCGTTTTTTTCGGGGCAGTAGTGGTTTAATAATTTTTCTACCTCTTAGAAGAAAAAGGCAAAGCAAACCGTTATCACATGAGGAAAGGTCCGTTTGCATTTTCTATACGTATGGCTGATGCTAAACAGATAAAAACAGATATTTCCAGCTATAGAATTTTCCCATTTACTATAGCCAGAGATACACAAGTCAGATTTCCATCAACACTTCACTTTCTAAAGAAAAATGGGCACATTTGTTTTAATACCAAGTTTTCACAGTTTTCACTGAAGTCAAATGAAGGAATAAATGCCCAGTGGCCTTGAAAAATAGTTGCTTTCCTACAGTACCCCTTTTCTGTGCCTATAGGAATCCCCAGTATGAAAAAGCTGTCCCTCTTGCACAAAATAAGTAGATGACCCTACAAACAGTGCTCACATGCACAAGATATTCCGGAATGAGTCAGGGTATGTAAAATCAGGTCTCGAGCAAAACCCAAGCAAACAAGCAGCAAAATCACCCTCCTAACATCAAGTGCAGTTACTACAAGTTGCATTACTGGATTTGTAGATATGAGATAGAAAAATCAAGACAGAAAAGTTTGACTGGCTTGTTCACTAACCATATCTCAGTGGTCACAAATTATTAACAAGGAAAATTCAACTGGAAAATTCTAAACATAGAGGAAGTTTCATAAGTGTCCTTTTGTAGTGTCATTTCATTTGCTATATTTCTCACTAGGACAATATTACTCTACTTGTATTTAACATTGGGTTTATTGTAAAATAATTCTTCTTTCTGTTACAGGATTGCATGATTATCGTGTATTTATCGCTCCAGATATGTATCATGAACATTTTTCTTCCTTAGTTTTCTATCATATATAACTACTAAATTCTGGAATTTGTAGTTTCCCATCACCTTCATAGAACTGTAAAGCACAAGCAGGAATAAAAATAAAAACATACCTTTTCATCAAGTAGTCTGCTAACCAAAAGGAGAAAAAATAAGCTTTGTGTATTTCTAAATAGTCCTCTAGGAGTCTTATACTTGTACTACGTGCTATGTATCGTATGGTTTCTCCCCCTGTTATGACAACTCTGATTACTTTAAAAAGAACTCTCAAAAATGTTGAGGCACAAACCTTTGTATGGAATACTTTTAGTACGCTTTTTATTCTGACAAGATTAATAATTATCCTATAAGCATGACACAGTGTTTTAAAATGTTTTTTTCTCCTATGAGTTAGGATTGTGCGTATAAATGTGGAAAGAAAGGTTATTTCACAGCAGAGAAATGTATATTTAAACAAACTGTGATTAAATGGTAAAACTGATATAAAAAGAAAAGCACAGGTTTTTTTCTCATCACAGTTATTCTGAATTTAAAATACCCATAGTGAGTTTCCAAAGGATACCGGGCATTTGTAATGAAAACACAAGCTACTGAAATTAATGGCAGATAATTGAGAGAACCATAGCAAATGTCCCAGAGCTTTGGCCAAAACTGGACAGAAAAATATCCACTTGTGTAGCAAGTGACAACTGTGTCCCCTCCCCACCATCACCACCCTGTCTTCTTCTGCGGCACCTGAAACTAGCTCATAGTGAGAACAACTGGCTATGTGGGAACCAGTCTATGGAGTAACCAGACTTCTGCTGTTCTTTAACAAGGCACCTCACAAGTGCTGACAGTCCTCATGGCAGCCTTAAGTCTTTCCCAGGACACACAACTGCCCTTTCCTCTAAGCTCATACACATCCAGCATTTCCCATTGATGCAAATACATGAGCACGGATTTTTTTTTGATTATTCAAAGTGCCCAGCAATGCATTTCCTAGATATCAGTATGTAGTGACCAGTGACCACAATTATTGCTGGCCTGATTCACTAGTCAAAGTATATTGGATGTAATCCTCAGATGACTGAGGCATAAGAGCAAGACCAATGTGGCACTCAGACCTAACTCCATTCACATCTAATAAATGCAAAAATAATATCTCCACTGATACTAAGGTCTAATGTAAACACTTCAAGGAGCAGAATGAGAGCTAGATCCTGTTCATTCCAATCAAACAAAACTCCACGTGGTTTCAATGAATGGGACAAGTAAGATTTGGTCCATCTTGAGCAGCACAGATTTGGCTTCCAAAGACTGAGCTGTACCTGCTCGTTGGAGCAGGACAGTGAAACACTGGAGCCAGTAGACCTCAAGCTAAGGAGACAACCAAGGATAACACCTTGTCCACACTTAAACAGATGGCAAGGCAAGCAGCGTCACCTGCTTTGCCCCTGAGCTTTAGTGCTGGGCTTCAACCATGATGCAGTCTTTCTACTAACTTTACTTGAAGGAGTAATTTTAAAATAATTTAATGTCAAGTGCCAGAGGGCTCACTTTTTCTTAACATTAAACTGAATCATATCAACTCCCATTCTAAATATAAAATATGATTGCATTACTCGACTTCATACTTTTTATAAAGGTCCCATTGTGGTGGGGTTTCACAGGTATAAAAGCCCATGCAGGTATTATAGGCCATATCAGTCCATTTCATCTAATTAATCATCGACTTAAAAATGTTTTTCTTGTATCGTAGTAGAAAAAATAAAATAAGTGTTCTTTTTTATCATTTCCAAAATTAAATTCATATTCCATAATGACCATATTTCATGTACAAAATAACAAGATATGCTTACATACCTGACTTCCCTTCTTTAGTGAGTTGCTTCATTTGTAAAACATTGCATATAAGATTAGAAACTAAAATGAATTACTTGGTTTTTCTTGATATGAAATCTTGTTTAAGTTCACAGCAATTTTAAATATGATACATTTAAAATATTAATATTTCCCATATATTATTCACTGACTTTCAGGTTTCATCTCAAGTTAGTGGCACTTCATATTTCAAAGGAAGAACTGTTTCTTTTTTTCAGTACTAATGTTCTATTAATTCACTTTGTAATATCATTCTGGTTCAGACAAATAAAATTGCACTAAATTGCTTATGCCAAGAATCATGCTAAAGTTGTTGGCACTATCTAAAATTCCATATTCCATTACTATTTTATAAGTTTTTTTATATCAGTGGCATCTTTTTAGGCATAATTCATAGTCCCATTTAGTTAGTTCTAGAAGGGCAAATACACACAGAGGGATTTTTATGCTGAGATGGGGGTGTATGTAGGTAGCTGTAGCAAAGTCTGTAACTAAAACGACTTTTGCAATGTACAGGTTACAAACTCCCAGTGAACTACCTTAACAGCTTTCCCTTCATATATATCTTTTTATTTTGGGCAGTTTTCTCTTCCAGTATGTTTTTTATCACACACATGTATAAACACATACGTACGCACACACATACATTTGTGAAAAATAAATTTGTGTGCGTACAAAAATACTTGAAAGGCCTCATACGCATGTTATGCAACATATGCCATTCATGTAATCACTACATACAAAAAGAAAATTCATTTTACGCATACAAATAAAGTATGTGAAAGAAGTCCTTAAAGGACCCATAAAGGCCTCAACATAGATGGATTCTTCATCACATCCAAAGAACTGAAAGAATCATGAATATAAGCCAATCTTTATATATGTCCATTTATATTTTACACTCTTTACATAAAGTCTATGTGGCCACATAGCTATTTCCAGAGATGTGGATGAAGGTTACACGTGAATAAACTGAAAATTCTTTAATGAGTAAAGCAGCATTTAATCCTATGAAATGCCTTGCTGGAGTAAAATAATTAATAAGTGCTGGAGCAAGAGTAGCAAACAGCAGTAAAATTACCTGTAAATAGATGTGAGGAACTATAAATACACTTTCATATTTGTATAGTTGACTTTCTCTGACTGTGATCAAAATCAGATGTTCAGGAGGCAGAAATCCAACTCCAAGGAATGCAGATTAATACATATATATGGATATATAGTCTGTGACTAAGTTTGCAACATTATTAATAATGTATGCCCCTTTTCTAATGCCTAGTGCTTGCTCCCTTGGCAATTTTAAAAATAAGAAAATTTGATCCAACTCTTTTAAAAAATAAATTGCAAAATAACTGATGCAAATCCCTGTCACTTATGAACACAATGAAATTATACAGAAAGGAGCAAATGCAGGAGAGGCTCCTCCTCAAAAATAGAAATGAATGCCCTGTTCCTATACGGTCCTCAAATGGCAGGATTTTGAAACATGAATTAGACCTCGAATGCAAATTAACCTCGGAAGGCAGGGAGAGGGAAAAAAAAAAAATCAGAGAGACATACCAAGTCAAACGCTCCTTTTCCTGCCTATCTCGTCCGCAATGGTAAAATAGGCTAAACAAAACAAGTGCACATCAAGATACAGCCAATTAAGGAATAGAGAGAGGGGGGAGAGGGTGGAGAGGAAGGCACCTCACTGAGCACATGGGGAGTGGGAGAGCAGCATCCCACCATACCTACCTTATGAGTGTTCAAAGGAAGACAACTGGGGTAAATTGGAGCCAGCTTTGATTTTTGCCATCCGGTTGCACCCGGGATGCGGGGGAGTGGGGTGGGGCAGAAGGGTCGGTCTGGGCGGAGGTAGATGGGTGATAAAAAAAGTGGGGGTAAATACTGAGCGAGGATGCTGAACGCTATGCAAATAGTTGAGCTTTTTTATTTATTTTGGGCAGGGGGGATGAGAAAAAGCACCGTCAGTGGCGAGGTGAGTGGGTCCTCGCACCGTCCGCACACGCGTGGGGGAGGGCGAGGGGAGTCGTGTGGGAGCGCGGCGCGGGGCAGCGCTGCGCACCGAGGGGCGCGGGGCCGGCGGGGCGCGGGGGCTGCACCTTCCCGGGAACAGCGGCTGCTCCAGATGGGGAGAGAGGGGGTGCGGACCCCCCTCCTTCCGTCAGTCATCGCCTCCCTAACCCCCCGACCGCTCCCCCCCGACACGGCTGCCTCACCGCTCCCGGCGGCTCCCCGCTTAGAAATGGAGACCGGCAACTCTCACCAGAGCTCACCCGCATCCCACGGTCCTGAGGAAGGAGTTTGGGGCGGCAGGGGGAAGCGGGCGCGAGGCGTGGGGAGCGGGGGGGGGGGGGGGGGGGGGGTGTTTGAGAGTGACGGTGAGGCGAGGAGGAGGAGGAAGGAGGAAGGCTGGGAAGAAAGGGGTGGGGGGAGACGGCTTCTGAAATGGAGCCAGCCCAAACGGGAGACGATGCTGGAACAGGGGCTGCGTCATTTCGGGGCTGGGAGAGGGCTCAGCTCCCGTCCGCCACTTCCCAGTCTGCGGGCAGGGAGGACAGATACCAGCAGGCCAGGGCAGGGTGCAGAGTGCTGTGGGGTCGAGACCACCTCCGCCTGCCTTTCTCTGCAAGTCCCCGGGGCCGGGACAGGGAAGCAAAACCCCACGCTAGGAAAAGGGATAAGCCGCCTTCGGTCTGCCTAGTGATGCCAGAAAGGCAGGGGAAAAGAGAGCAGTACAGTACTCGTCGGCCACAAGGCAGTAGGCAGGACTGGTCATGAACGGGGGCCCGAGGCAGGGCCAGCTCCCGCGGGGGTTACAGGGTCCCGGGACGGCGAGGGTAGGAGGAATGATCGGCATTTATAACGCCGGGGGAGGCTCACAGCCTTTCAAAGAGTTTCAGCTGGGTGAGTGGAAATGTCTTCTGCTCCTTTCACATATGGAAGCACAGCGATCTTTTTCTGGGGGGGTGGGGGGGAAGGGAGGGAAAGCAATTTTCTTTTTTCTGCTGGACAGTGGATCTCTTTGAGCTTATTGTCATGTCCTGTGGCAGCAATTATACATAAACTTTCTTTCTGCAGAGAGGAAGTAGCAGAGACTAAGGGTCTGAAGCTAGAGAATAGCCATCAGCTACCCTGATCTTTGCTGGCCCATGCTGGCGAGATGGTGGCCTGGCCCAGTACTGAGAGACTGTGGGCACAGTATGCTGCATGTCTGAGGCTTAATAACTGGCCTGGGAACACCTTTCCTTCTTTCAACTCTGCCCATCCAGTCCACGACGGTTTCCTACTGAAGCTCATCCACTCAAAAGCTTTCTAAATTCAGCTTCAAATACTCATGTTCATATATTTTTAATTTTTAAAAAATTATTTTCATACCACCTCTGTGGTCCCACGTTTAAAAAGCAAAGCTGCTCAGTGGGCTGAGATCACAGGTGCCACCATGGAGGTCCATGGTGAGTGTCAGTAAAAAGCAAGAGAGAATTAAGTCTCCAGGCAAGATTACAGTGCTGGTACACAACCATGTACAGCCTTGTCCAAGCCTTCTACAGCACCTGCCACAGCAAAGGTGTTGTATGTAAAGTCCTGAAAATATTGACTATAGTCATTATTGTTATGTGCACAAATATTTTAGTTTATTTTATGACTCTGCGCATGTGTGTGTGTGGAATATATGTGTGCATGCTCATACAAACACGTTTATATCTATGTATATATTCAATAGTGATGGGCCTGTTAAACTGAGCAGTGATTTCTCCCCTACAGATAGTTGTATAATACACACATGGTGATGATACCTAAGGTGTTTGGGGGTGGGGATGCATAATATCTTATAAATTTGAAGTTTTTATCAGGCAGAGCAGATTACTTTAAGCGTTCAATTTCTCAGCGATCCAATTTTATTAGGATTTACTATCATTTGTGCTGCACATCCCTGGGGAAATAATGCTTTGATTAATGTAATCCTGGGCTGGGATCCGCCACATGCCCCTCTCCCAAGAGAAGGGCCCTGTTTGACAAACAAAAATAGAGCAGCAACTATTGCAATCTGCACTCACCTTTCGTAAGCACATAGACCCACATGCACACACAGACACAAAATATAACCCTCTCCTCCCCCCAACCCCAAATACAATAGCAGCATCTCAAAACAATGTGCACTTATTCATTTACACACAATGACTCTGATTCAATGTGGGCTGTACAGTCCAGCCCTCAAATGCACAGAGACAGCCCAAAAAGGATTCTGCTCTGTCCCCCGCTGAGAAGCTGAAGCATCTCTGGGAAGCTCAATGCTTCTCTCTGTTTCAGGCCCTCCTTGGGCTCCCAACATTTCTGCCTCTTTGTTTCCCATTGCAGGGCTTGCAACAAATCGATTTAAAGTCTTCTCCTTCAGACCCGGGGGCTGGAGAAGCTGTCCCTCCGAGGCTCCCCGGCACCTACCTGGGGGGACATGTACATCTCTAAACGGGCCCTGGTAAGTGAATCACAGCCAGGCACTCTGCTCAGCTCACAAGGAGCGTGAGGGGGACCCAAAAAACAACGTCAAACAGAAAGACTTGTCACACACATTTTTAAAGGGGAAAAAAGTAGTATTCCTCCGCCTTTGGGGGCTGCTGGGGTTTGAGCAGCTTTGTTCCAGCCACCACCCCCCCCCCCAACCCCTACCCCACCCTCCTCCCGCTCCTTCTGTTTGTGTCAAAGGCTGGCAGGAACAATAGCGTTTAAACAGAAGTAAACATTCCCAGATCATAGCCCAACCCCAGAGAAAGGGAAAGCTTTCTTTACACCCCTAGGTGAACTGGCCGGTGTTTCCCCCTTTCCTCCTTCTCTCCTCACGCCCACAAAACAACGCCCATTCCCAGCAGCCCAAATAGCAGTTTAATGTTGAATTCCTTCCTTCCACCCCGCCGGAACAAAGCGGGTCCCACTGCGCCTGAGGAGGACATACAGATTCACAAAAAGGGCTCTGGCCGCACTTGGACCACTCTTTCCCAAGTGCGGAGTAGTAAATCCAGGGGAAGAAGGAGGAGAGGGATCTCCAGGCTGGAGATGAGGAGGGATGCGGTTTGCGCCGGGGTTTTCAATAAGCTGCTGCTCTCTCCTTCGTGCTTACCCACTGACCCCCAAAACGGTGACTCAGCGATTACAGAGCACTGGGTGTCTGTGTGTGTAAGGGTGTGAAGGGGAGCGGGGGGATTTCCTCCCCCTTTTCTCTTTCTTTTCTTTCCTGATGAAAAACGTTGCAATTACGTTTCTGCATGCTGATCAGAGAGTTCAAATAACAAGCCTTAAACGCGTTATCAGGCTCATGTTAAAGAAGAGAAGGGAGGAACAAATCCAGACCTATACGCCTGGATGTATGTATACCTATATATGCACACACCTGTATAGATACATATTTACATGACATAACATACATATAGATACATATTTAAATGACAGACTGCTACAAGAAGAGATGGGCTGTTGCTCAGCCCGAGTGCCTTCACCCCGGCAGATGAGGGGAGAGCCTTAATTTAAAACACCAACGGAACTAGAGAAGAAAGAGCAAGACGCGCAAATCACTCCAGGGAAATGTTACTTTGACGCAATCTCTAGATTTTTCCCAGTGCAAACTGACTCTCCTACCGGGTTTCATCCAGTTTTCCTGCTCCCCTTCCCCCTCCCACCCCGGGAGGATGCATCCCTATTCTGCGTTTTGCTTCTCAGAAGTGGCTCCCGCCGCCCCGCCCGGGAGGGCGTTTGCCGGGACCTCGGCGTGGCTGCGGCCCGTCCCGCGCCCGCGGAAGGGCCGGCGGGGCGGGGGTCGTCCCCGGGGACGCGGAGTGGCGGCGGGCTTTTGGGTTCCAGCCTCCGCCCCCCACACTGCTGCCTCCCTAACTCTTGGCAGGCGGCAAGAAATTGTTTCAGAAGATGGGTGGCGGGGCTGAATTTAGAGAGGGGAGGAGGGAATAAATGCAAGGAGATGATGAATAACGTTAACTTTTGACTGTAGGAGTCATGATGGAGTTGAGCGAAGCTGCGGGGAAATAAGTCATTTAATCCCAGGGCTACTGAAGTCCCTTTTATCAAACGTCGTGATGCTGGAATTATACTGCTGTAAAAGCGACTGAGTACTTAAAAGTATCCAACATCAGGCAAATATATAGATTGGAGGAATGGGCGTAAAATGTTCACCACCGTGAACACTCCAAGCGGATTAGATAAATATAAATAGATGTGCATTAAAAAAAAAAAAAAAAAAAAAAAAAAAAAAAAAAAAAAAAAAAGCATGATAAAACTCTAGCTGCTGTATTCACACAAGGAGAACAGACAGCGTGTGCATGTTTGTGTGCAATGCCAAAAAGAGCAGCCTTAAGGTTGACCTACTGCAATCTGCACTGAGCTCCTCAGACAATAGACAAGTTCAAATGTCAAAAAATCTAATAGTAATAACCAGAGCTGCCAAACTGCACGAACTGTTTTCTGGTGTATCACAATTATGCACCCTCTTATCCACTAAAAGACTTCCAGTCCTTGTGCGTGTAAAAGAAAATCTATGTAATGCATATGGATTTTTTTTTTATCACATGTGAAACGCCATTGACATGGCAAGCACGCAAAACAGAATGATATCATGTCTAATAAAAGAAGGGCTAAGGTTTTCACAGTCTCTTTTAAAAGACTCCAACTTGTAAATCCCCTTTTAATGTCGCTACATGCACAATTATTCTTATTAATAAAAATCTACATGTTCAAGGGTCTGGATTGAAACTGTGTATCCCTCTGATTTTAACATCGGTGGGAGCATTAGGTTTCCATCATATGTAATGTGTCTACATTGAGCTCAAGTCAACAGATAGATTGTTCCATTCATTTGGAAACTCTCATTACAGTCCGTGTGAGGTGAACCCTGAGCAAGACACGTTGGGTAATACCAAAATTATGCAGCTAGGAAATAAAGAAATCTTGCTTTGCATGTGCAGTTCTGTATTATTGTTCTAATTTATTACAGAACCCGAAATGCTTTGTTATGCTCAAAACAATAAATAAGGTTCCAAGTGAGGCTTTCAGAATAAAAGGTATGGACAAATGATCTGCCTGCCTATTGTGTTTATCGTTATTATCGTCAGCCTTTAAAAGTAATCTGTGTATTTTCTTATTTTCTCCAGATTGGTTAGTGTAATATCCCTAGTGCAGCTATCAACGTGGTCATAAGAACTATGAACTACAGCATGGGTAAGCTTGAAAAACCCAGAGCAGATCGCATTAGCCAAGAACGCTACATATCTGGAAGCCAGTCAACTTCACGTTTGCAGCTGAC